ATATATACTGTATAACCTGAAGTGCTTATTTTCTTCTTATAGTCATTGAAGGTTATGAGTTCTTAAAAGCCTSAAAGCCATGAAAGTTTCTAACAGTTTAAATGACACTAGATTATACAAAAATATTTATTTTCTGACAAGAAATGAGGATAGAAAATGAATATGGTTACTTTATTTTGATCTAACGTTTGGTAGTACATAACTTTGATAATAAACAACTCTTCGGTATCCAGTCTTACTGTAATGTTAGAATAAACAAATATTATTATCAGGCTGCACAATGAAGCAGTGGTTAGAGTTGTCGCCTCACAGATATGTCACAGGTTCACCTCCGGGCTCGGGTGTTTCTTTGTGGAGTTTGCATTATTCCCTATGCACATATTAGTTTTCTCTGGATACCCGTTTCTTTCCACAGACCAAAAACATGACTGTTTTATAAAGAGCTACTGCAGAGGGAACAAAGAAAAACATGGCTTAACAGATTCATCATCAGAAAACACACCGTTCACATGCATGAATGTGTACAATCTATTTGACATACTGACCGCATCGTAGGCAGCAAGCACTTTGCGAGTCATTTCTGAGAGGCTGACCAGTGGCTCCAGACAAGGGTAGCCATCCCTCAGAACCATGTTGGCTCCCATGGAGCTGTCGGGGCTCTGAAGCCTTGTGGCCAGACTCTGGATGCACTGCTTCAGTTTGGCCACTGTGGGGAGTCCACACTGATCTTTGAAATTGGCCATGGAGCTCTTGAGTGAAAAATAGGACAAAAAGAAGACAGAGTTAGATCAGATGTACAGAAACGTTGCTGTATGTTGAGGACATTTAAAAATATTAGCACACTAACTACACATAAACCCATACACACCTCAGTGGTTAAAAAAATTGATAAAATTGAAGCAGCAGTCATTTAGTCCAGAGAACCCAAACCTTATTTTAAATTTTAAAAAAAGTGCAGTTTTCACTCATCTACAGGCCAGCGGTCACTCTTTCAGAGATGAGGATGTTCTCATTCTTGATAGAGAGGAACGTTGGTTTGAGAGAGGAGTAAAAGAAGCCATTTTTGTGAAGAAAGACCATCCATCATTAAACAGAGGTGGAGGCCTCCGTTTTCAGTTGTCCCCCTCCTACAGCACAGCTATACCCAGTATCACTCCACCCCCTGTTAACAATAGGTGTTAATTAGGTGTCAACAACAGCCATGTGATGTGAGTATCAGTCACATGGAGGCAGTGCTTAAAAGCCTGAATTTTGCCTGAAACTCTCAGACTGAAGAAGTCTCTTGGAGGAGAGACGAAACGTTTCATTAGAGAAGAACCCGTCCAGAGGACCTATACAATTTTTTTCTTTTTGATTTTTTACCTGGATTACTGAGATGCATCAGGACACTTATTTTAAATAAAACAATATGGAATTAACCTGGAAAAACTGAAACAACTGTAGATAGTTTTCCATTTTAAACAGGTGTTCAGGATGTGAATCAGGGATGGAAAGAGGTAACTGCAGGTCTGACATTGTTTTTCAATTAAAAAAAACTCTTGATGGAGAAATTTGTCTAACACCTTTAGCTTGTTAAAAAAGCCCAAACAATGCAGGTGATCATTGTATCTGTGACTGTATGAATCTGTGTTAGGCAGCGCAAGACAGGCATGAGCTGGAGTTGTGGCAGAGACACAAAAGGACAAGACAAAGAAAAAAAGAAAGGATATTAAGATTTCAGCGTTTTCATGGAAGACTTAGACCTGTTCAAACCTGGCTCTAACATAATTAGACCTGCTGATGTTTTGTTTGGGCCAGTTCACACCGTTCACCTAATTCTACCGGATTCCTTTCGAATGGTACTACACACGTGGACAAAGATGTTGGTAGCCATCACTTAATGAAAGAAAAACCCACTATGGTCACAGAAATAACTAGAATCTGACAAAAGTAACAATAATCAAAGATTCTATAAAAATTAACAAATGGAAGTCAGGCATTGCTTTTCAACTATGCTTCATAGGAATTAGAAATAATAAAACTCATGAAACAGGCCTGGAGAGAAATGATGGTACCCCTGAAAATAATGTGACCAAAGGCACTTGTTAAATCAAGGTGTGACACACTTTGAACTTCAAGTGTCAGATCACACGATCTGTCATTGTTTGAGCCAAAGTGGACTTAATGGGAGATGAACAAGGAGAACAATGTTGAAAACAAATTAAAAATAGCCAGACTGGAATTTGCCAAACTACATGTTGACAAGCCACAAAGCTTCTGGAAGAATGTCCTCTAGACAAGATGAGACAAAAATGGAACTTTTTGGCAAAACACATCAGCTCTATGTTCACAGAGGGGAAAAATGAAGCATGAGGAAAAGAACACTGTCCTACTGTGAAACATGGAGGTTCTGTTATGTTCTGGGGCTGCTTTGCTTAATCTGGCACAGGGGGGTCTTGAATCTGTGCAGGGTACAATGAAATCTCAAGACTATCAAGGATTCTAGAGARAAATGTGCTGCCCAGTGTCAGAAAGCTTGGTCTCAGCAGGTCATGGGTCTTACAACAAGATAATGACCCAAAACAGCTAAAAACACCCAAGAATGGTTAAGATGAAAACACTGGAYTATTCTGAAGTGGCCTTCTATGATCCTGACCTAAATCCTGTTGAGCATCTTTGGAAGGAGCTGAAACACGTCTGGAAAAGGCTCCCTTCAAACCTGAGACACCTGGAGCAGTTTGTTCATGAGGAGTGGAACAAAATACCTGCTGAGAGCTGCAGAAGTCTCATTGACAGTTACAGGAATGGTTTGATTGCTGTGAKTGAATCAAAACRTTGTGCAACAAAATATTAAGTTAAGGTTACCATCATTTCTGTCCAGGCCTGTTTTGTGAGTTTGATTTGTTTAAATGTCTGAAGCATGGTTGAAAAAGCAATGTCTAACTTTCATTTGTTTATTCTTATATTCTTTTTTCTATTTATTAATACTTTTGTCAGATTCTAGTTATTTCTGTGA